GTCAACTTCTACCCACAGTATACCTACCTAGTTGGGTATACCTAGTCACTACATATCTGTGACGGTAGCCGTGAATGGTGTGAGACACAGTCGATAATAATAGCAAACCCACCACCTCTAGGCACATCCTTGCCGTTGTACGTATGACGTCGCAATTCGTCTTGAGTCTGCCCCCTTCTTTTAACCTCTTCTGTCATGCCACATCGAAGATGGTGTTGCACCTTTCCTGAACAAGTGTACCAACGTTCATCCTGGGCCACAAAATGACCTAGTTTCCCTCACCTATTCGGGTCAGCGTTATAATCATCACGGCTTCTAGGCCACCACATACCTGTCTCCCATAACGCTAGATGTACTAAGCCCTCCGACGCCAATGCACACTATATCATACCGTCCCTTGAACGAGGTAACCTAACCAGCAGTCGACCCGACATATAGATCAGCTAAGATACCGGTCCACGGTTCCTTGGGTGATATCGTGCTATACCTGGCCACAACCACAACCGCGATGTCCATTTGAAACAACTTTGAACCCAACCACTAATTCGAATTCATGTAAAAAATATCAATCTACCATGGCAGACCCCAAGAACACGCAAGGGGGACCTAATCTGCCATCAACCCCAAATGTCACTTATATAAACCCCAGGAGGACTTCACCCGAGAACTCCATCACCTTACGACATCACCGCCTCGCCCGGGATGCCTCAAGACGGCATCCCCCGCCTGGCATCCCCAATGCTCACCCGAGTGCTGCCAAGGCCCAGACGAAGCTACCAAGGAGGAATTCATCGGAAGAGAGTAACGAGACACGTCAGAGCGATCCGAGACACTGGTTCGATCAATCGAACCAGAATACTCAGAGCAACTTTGACACCGGCGTTATGGACGTCGATCCACCATTTTTCCAGAAAGAAACTGACTCTTCGAATGAGGAGGCTCATAATGTTGTACCATCACAGACTCCGGCGTACGGACACATGCAGAGTCGCGGGGCTTCATTTCGACCGAGCTTCGCGCAAAGCAGTAGTGCGGGGGATTACCGGAGTGTCATTGATGACCTCACTATTGAAAATAAGCGCCTGAGAGAAGAATTGAGAAAGTTCAAGCAGATGGGTCCAAACTCGCTGCGTAACGACAAGCTTTTCGAGGTCAAAATACACGGCCTACCCAGCAAGAAGAAACGGGAACTTGAAGCTACGCTACGAGACTTCACGACAAAGCTCGAACGGTCGAGCGCCGGGGCCTCTACGAGCCGGAAAAAGGCGTCGGGCAAATCCAAAGAGGGGAACTCGTCCGCCTCGAAACACGCTTCATCTACCTCGGGGTCTAACTCGAGACCTGTTGACTCGGCCTATGCTTCTATGGGGACGGGGCCTAGCTCATCTTCTCATCCAGTTCCCGGACAGGCCAGGGCTGACCGGTTACGATCGAACCAAAATATCGAAGAGTATCTGCGAGACATTCCCGAGGGACTGTGGCCGAGGCCGACTAGAATGACGGAGCATGAAAAGAAGAAGCTTGTGGTGAAACGACTGGAACACCTTTTCACTGGGAAAATGGGCCATCCGACAGACCGGACGGTCTCAACTAACCCCACGCAACCGATCGCAGAAGATATCGAAATGGTAGACACCAGTGCTAGAAGCCTGCCGGCCAAAGAAGCGGCCCGAGAAGCTATCATCCGCACGGGAGACTCGCTCAAAAAGACTAGTCATTCAAGCGCCACGGTATCGGCATCAAATACACGCACCCAGTCACAGTCACAGTCGCACTCCAACTCGCATTCCAACGGGGATCAGTCCAATTCTCGCGATAACGACAAAGACAGTGGTAGTGGTAGTGGGCACGGTAGCGGAAGTGGTAGGAGAAGCGCCAAAGACGGTAAAAACCCGTCACCGCCGAACAATATGCAACCATCGGAACAGCGACCCACCCGTCCACGCGACTTGGACCCTGATCGGAGGCAGATCCCTGAGGACAACATGGAGTACATACGTCATTTAGGCATTGTTGCACCTGAGTCGCAACCACACTTTTCGGCTAGAGATGTGTCGCCAGACGCGGAAGGTTGGGTGTACCTGAATCTCCTTGGCAACTTAGCACAGCTTCACATTCTCAATGTGACCCCTGATTTTATCCGCAGTGCCGTGTCGGAAAAGAGTACCAAATTCCAGCTGTCCCCGGACGGCCGAAAGATCCGATGGCGTGGCGGGGACGAGGGCACTAGGTTCACAAGCGACAGCGGCAGCAAGTCTCAGACGGACCGCTCGAGCGACGATACGGATGGGTCGAACGAACAGAACCAGCGAAAGAAACAGAAGGGGTCCAAGTTCAATCTGGGCGTCCAGGATTCCAATTCTTCGCAGGATTTTCACTACAAGCCCCTCTTTGTGCATCACCCGACCTCTTCTACGCCCGACGAACAGCCATCGATTGTGGAGGACACAGTCTCCTCAAACGGACAATCTGAGGACAGCAACCCTGGGCTGCATTCGAAGTGGGACCAGAGCGGTATCTTGACTGGCTCGTCTCAGCGCAAGCGTCGACGCGATGGAGCCATCATTTACTACAGCGGGGCGCCCTTCTGCACTGATCTCTCTGGTGATTACGGTGAGGTGTCCCCTGATACATATGATATGACGTCATCCGGCGATCAGCCTATGCAGGACCAGGACCCTGTGCATCTCCACCTTGTCCACCGTCCCTACGTCAGTCGGTCCGCGTCGGGATCGTCGATTCCTACGAAACCACTCAGTGAGCCCATGTCGTCGCGCCCCGCTGTCGACGAGACGGAGAGCGAAACCGACGATGGTATCGAAGCAGACTTCCCATGGTCCGATTCTAATCAGCAATCCCCATTAACCAACCTCGAAGCAAGTGGCCTAGGCGGCATATCTCCCGAGGATCACTTTGTCGTCGTTGTATCGACTAGACGGCCTAAGAAGGCCACACACTACGGCGATGACGATGACGACAATGACAACGACGGTGACAATGACGAGAACAGTTCCGATGACGATGCGTCACCGGTAGCGCAATCGAGATTCCTAGATCGTGCTAGTCATGATACGGCCGGCTCGCGAGGCACCATCGATTCAATTGCTAGCAAACTAGCCTCGGTATCAACCAGGTCGCCCGTGAAAACGTTCCCTTCTACCCATAAGGCATGGGCGATCAAAATTCAATATGCGACCGCCAAGGTCCACCGTTTACCACCCGTGCCACTACCACCACCGGCCTTCTATTTCCCGTCGGGCGGCTCGGAATCTGATGACTACGGGGCCAGCATGGACGACGATAACTCGGTCTCTTCGGAGAGGAGTATCCTCAGCAAACGGCCGATGCTCGAAGGTAGTCCCGACTCGGACAATCGTGATCTCTCTGGGAACGATGAGGAAGACGAGCATTCAGACGGCGACCAGGGTTTTGGCTATAGTAGAAGCAAGTCCTCTAGAAGGATTAGCAGGATATCTGGAGTAAAACGCGGAGATGATGCTCCTATACCGGCTATGTCGAAAGCTACCACAGGGAGCTCAGCCGCCACCGCTGGTGGTGCGGGTAGCGGGTACTATAGTTCCATGGAAGATGCGTGAACAGTGTACCCTTTCCTTTTCCTACTTCTTTTTAATGCGTTATGAGCGAGCGCTATTTGCGGGCGGTGGCGTCTTATCAATTTTGGGTCAGGACAGGCCTCGGAAATGGCTTTATCGGGGTTACAGCGAAACGAATGTACTCTTCAAAAATTGGAGAGAGTGGCGCTAGCAGGATTTCCTGTTGACCTGTTTTAGGATGATACCTTGGATCAGTTTTTTTGCCTGGGAAGGAAGGGCGGGAAATTACATGAGTTGGCTCTCTGGTTCATGCGCCTTATAGAATTACAGCCCCTGAATAAGAATATGAAATTCTATTCAATAGGATAATTTCAATCATCCGCATTTGGCTGTCTAAACGTGATAAGATGGCTTGTCCGTCTCAACTCCTTCGTCACTTGTTCTACTGCTCTCTAAACTAAGCTGCCCACGATTCGTACTAAGGATCAAATTTCTCGGTCGTGCCATTAGACCTGGGAAACCCAGTGGGTGGTTCGGGGAGACGCGATTCGAAAGGGTGAGGAGCCGCCATCCGATATATATGGCTACCTACTTATGTAACTATATCTATAATGGGCAATAGGTAGGTGATATCAGACGCCCACTCGTGCCCGGTAGGTTCAGCCCTTACAAAAAGCCCAGGTCTTTTGCCTTATTTCTAGGGGGTGGGAATGTTTTCGTTGGACGGAATTGGCCTCGCTTACGATCTCTTTCTTCCCCCGCTTGGGGTTAAAAATGCAGTGAAAAGCCGGGCGGAACGACATGCAAAACGGTTGTATTGCCGATAAGAGGCTCCGTGGCTGTACGGGAGCCAGCCAAATGCCCCCTGTGTGCCCTCTGGATTGTTTCTTCCCTCGCTCTGGGTACCTCGTTGGTTGAGGCGCACCGTCTATTTGTTCGCGACCCCGGCTTTAGGTAGACGGGCGGGTAGGGAGGCGGCAGGATGGGGAAAGATGAGGCATTCGCCAGTGTTCTACCAGCTAGCCCCTTAATTATGATCTTACTGCTAAACAAGGTTATCGGTATTTGATTCCCGGGTCGATCTAAGCCATGTAACGACCATGTTGGCGGTTCGGATGCCAGTGGCTATTAAGTAAAGGAGATAGACAGAAGGCCTTAACAACCGAGTCCTTCACTCTCCGGACTGGCGCGATCTAATACTTTCCCCAGAAAGGATGCGGTGTAGTGCCGCACGTCAGTACTAAGCCACGCAAAGGAGACGGGAGGATTCTGCAATGAATCACGCTTTGGTTTGGCGCAATGTCAACCCCCGTTTATCATGAATCTTCCTGTCATAGCGATCGAGTACCCGTGAGAGGCAGTATAGCCGTGGGCTTATTAAAACTATTGGGGCAAATAACAAGAAGTGTGAGAAGAAAAAAAGGTAGGAAAAAAGAATGAAAGAAAAACGTACAACACCAAGGATTCGCCGGTCGTCACCGACCCGACTACTGATTTGGCGCTCTCTAGCTTATCACGAGGAGATCAAACGGGATCCCGAGTTTTCTAGAGGCTATGGTCGTACGTGAATGCTATCATTTCTATTAGATACTATATTCGGCCACCGCTAACTGTATTGGCAGCTCGAGTTAGTCAACGACTTCACCCCGAGAATGGGTTCCGTGTATCTAGATACGTATAATAATACTAGCACACTATTATCTATAAACTTGTCAACTAACGGTCTATCTTTACGAGATTCTGTTACCTCTAGGCGCTAATAGGATCTTATTACTAAATAGAGGCTTATGTTTCTACTCCCAAGTGGAAGGTGCGCAAATTCCGCGTAGCTAGTGATTGAAAATAAGGTATACCCGTATCACAAAAAAGACCAGTTTAGTCTTTATATCTCTACTCACCAACGTTCTAGCAGGGAGAGTCGGGACGGCTCACACAACTCGTAGAGGCAACACCCCAATTGGTCCAAGCTGCAGAATTGACGGAGTCGCTGTGATTAGGGTTGTAACGATTTCGTCATTTCCCCGTCTGGTCCAACGCGAGAGATTATGTCGATGAAGGTTGCACGGCGATTCGCCCGAAGCGTACAACACATCAGGCTACCGATCAGGCGTTCTTTAATGAGGCGAATCCGAGCCGAGGGTCCTCATTCGGCGACATCTAGTAGCTATGACGTATAGTAATACGAAAAAAAGAGCACAGCCGCGAACCGTATTACAGTCCTCGTACACGAGAGCTCGGGTGGCACGGGCTTTCTGTGATGCGTCCCACGTCGACGGACTTCTCTGCTCACCATCGCTTACCTTAGCTCGAGCGACGAAGAGAACGTCGTCGAATGAAACTAGTTGGGTAGGCGATATGAGACTTTGTGGGGAGAATTGACAAGAGTTGTTACGGATCTCGGCTAGGTTCGGTAGTAAGAGTTCGTGAAAGCCGTGAAGATGACGCACTCGAAGACGCGATATGCCTACCGCGATATAGCTACCTTATTCTAGAAGGCGAAGTTGCATTTACCCATTCGGAGGTTAACAAGTATCTCCGTGGTTCGTCGTGCCCGCCCCGGGGCTTTCGGACTTGTCTTTTCCTGTTGCGGCTACTCCCGTCCAGAATTTTAGTACTGATCAAAACGTAGTTCTATTCTGGTAGAGCAAGCCCCATTCCCCCTTCGCCGATCTTATAACCCGCAGCTAAGTAGTGGCTTAACCTAGGTTTGTAGATGATGTATCGGATGTAAAACATACGGCGAGTTAGGTGCCTTGCGCCAGCATCGTCGCGAGGCAGCCCTCTATCACACCTCCGGAAAAAAGAGGTGCTGTGTATATTGGCAATAACACCAGCATAGGTAGTATAGGCTCTATGCGCAACAACGAGTGTTCGTTATGCCCCTATACTAGAGATTACGGCCCCCTTACTTCAGACACACCTGCATACGCTATCTCGCGAATAGTCTCATGTTCTCTGTTATCATAACTTAGAAAGAATCCCATCTAGTATCGAATCTGCGTGCTCTTGATATCGCCCTAGGTCTAAGTTATATATACAAGATAGCGTGCACGGAGCCGTAGTATGAACTACTACGGTGTTTTCTCTTCGGCAGTTCAGAAGTTAGAAATTTCGGTGATTCTATAATTTAAGAACATGCTGAGCTTTAGTCAATTGTCAAGACTAACTATCGATACGCTTTAAGTTCAAGGGCGATGGCTTGAGAGCTGCCCCCCCCGGAAGAGGGAACTCTTCGCGCTCGGGCCTGCTATTCACGAGATAATATGCCAGGGTTTGCCATCCGAAGAGCTGGAGGACGGCAATACTAGAAAAAGTATGTTGCTGTGATATTGGAGCCTGAAGACATACTAGGGGGGAGGCGTTGTCATCCGGCAAGACGGGAATAAAATGGCTTAGATGGGGCAGTGGGACTGGAGGCGCTGATTATTTTAGGAGACGAGCTGAAAGCGGTCATCCGAGATGTATCGATGGCGAGGCTTTGATCTAGCTATGGGGTAGTGAGATGCAGAACTGAGTCATCATGTTTTCAGAGCTGCAGCTCGGGAGGCGGCAGCAATGCCCAAATGAGAGGTAGTTCGTCACGCTCTACGCAACCAATGATATCCCTAGGGGTGGCAAGTACATGAGACACTTCTATAACGTGATAGGGGATATCGGGTAGTCATTTTTCTTTTTAGGATCGTCATAGAACTGGAAAATATGATGCTTCGTGCATGTGTGTCTCGGATTCCTTTTCTAGTCCGAGCGAATAGATGTCCCTACTACATTGCACGTATTGCGGTGGATTATAGCGGTGGTATAGGGACGAGCGACAGACGATGATACGAATAAAATGATCCTCAACTGCAAATAGACCACATGAACAAGGAAGACAATGTTATTCGTCTGAGCCTGACGTTACGTTCGCCTTCCTAGTTATTACGGATTACGATGTTGGAAGATGGAAGGAAGTGATCCAATCGAAAGTCTTGAGTAACGTGCGGTCTTCTCGCCAAGCTTATGGATGTCTCTATACTAAGGCACGATAGGTGGATATTGGAGCCTCGTCGAGAGCCCACGTTAATACTCTCTCTGGTGGATAACCTCTATTTTCGGACGTCATAGCAAGTATTTTTTTCTGGGCTTGAAGATTCAATTCTGAAATGCCGTCAAAAACGAGATTCATGCTTATTACTTGTTGGGAAACCTCTGGCTGCCTACCTATGGGGCATGTTAGCGGGCTACCATGATCCCTCCCTCCACCCTGTAGATTCATTTCCTAACAGTTTACCTACATTCTAGGTGGCTTCGGTGGCTAAACGATGCTGTGATACGTCGCCTTCTGCCTACCAACAGACCTCTTCAGGACGTATGAACGCCAAATCCCTAGCCCATGACCACGCACGTTCAGTGGGGTCTCAGCGATTTTCCGAAACCAACAAAAGCAACGAAGGCGCTTACACCAAGGTGCGAGTCATTGTGAAGTTCACGTGAAAAAGAAGTAGCTGGATGTCCCCGCTATTTGATAAGACGTCGCGGTTATGCGGCGAGTTGTTCCTAACTTCGATGTTATTTAGTGGCGGCAAGATCGTGATTCTGATTGGGTAGCTATCTACTGCTAACGAATAGAGAGGCCACTCGGCTTAAGGGCAGCTTGTATCCATCGCAGAGCACAGAGCCTGCTTGGTTGTTTAGCTATCTATTCGACTGAAATGGTAGCAAGGCGCTCTGGAGGGTAAGCGGGCTTGCTGGTATGAGAGGGTGTTCGCTTGCCGCGTCGTTGGTACTTACATACATACTAGTACGATACACTAGCAAGGGCCGGGTTCTGCCAGCCGAGACCGGGGTTGAATCCTACCCCCTGCCGCTCAATAAGGCAACATGCATGGAGGTTACATTTTGATAGTGTTGTTGGTTCCAGATTGACGATGTAGCATAAGTGAATGAGAAGGACCCGCGAGGCGTTATGTGGATATATCTTCTAAATAGCCAGGTGAGGACGCCTTCCCCTAACCCTTCGGCGCTGTTCAATTCATCGAGTAGATGTTTATTGTAATTAGGACGGACAATTTTACCTTATTGCTCTTTGGATGAGCCTTCTAGGTGCTTTCCCCATTTATCGCGCCTCCCTTCAATACTATGCGATTGCTGGACGTGAGAAAGAAGAAGCTCATAGACTTCTCCACACAACAAGTCCCGAAATATGCCATACTATCACATTGTTGGCGATATGGGCTTGACGAGATCCTTTACGAGGATGTTGAGTATTCAGAACTAGAGGTATGGCAGAGCAAGAAGAAGGGGGCAGCTGAAAAGGTGATCAAAGCTTGCGCGGAAGCCGAAAAGCTCGAATGCGACTATATTTGGATCGACACTTGCTGTATCGACAAGCGGAGCAGTGCAGAACTCTCCGAGGCCATCAACTCCATGTTTTCGTGGTATAGACAGGCTGGAAAATGCCTTGCGTTCTTGGACGATATCAACGGACTAGACGACCTTGGCTCGAGCCGCTGGTTTACGCGCGGCTGGACGCTCCAAGAGCTTATCGCACCAGACAACGTCCGGTTTTACAACAAAGACTGGTCCTTCGTCTGCGACCGGTTTTCAATGTTTGAAAAATTGTCAGACATTACCGGAGTAGACGAGATGGTTTTGAGGCATGGGCATGAACCCGAATTATCAAATTGGGATGATCATGTGCACGAGCTAGAGATACACGAATATCAATGCACATGTGGTATTAGGGGCTACGATAGCGACAAGCTTCGGGGAGTGCTTGACACTTTCAGCGTTGCAACGATTATGTCCTGGGCGGCCGGACGCACAACATCAAGAGAGGAAGATACAGCTTACTGCCTCCGTATGAAGTCCCAACACCCGTGAACACCCTTCTAGTACCGCCAACGCACAGGTTGTTTGGCGACTTGGCGTTAATTCGTCTGGTCCCGTTGACTAACTTACAATTACAGTGGGATTATTCGACATAAACATGCCCCTGTTGTACGGCGAGAAGGGTAAAGCCTTTAGACGCCTGCAGGAGGAGATCATTGCGCGGACCAACGACCAGTCCATCCTTACATGGATGTCACAAGACCCAGGTCTTGGGGACTTTTGGCGCGCACACGACTTGGCAAACGATCCGTCGTTTTTCCATCCTTTTAATATCAGGAAACAATGGTCGCTAAGAGACCCTGCATATGACAATGCTTCGACTCCCCATATAACCGTCACGAAGGAAGGCTTAGAAGTGGACGTACTCCTAGTCCCGATGGTAGGGTGGGTGGATTTCTTTACCGGAGAGAAGGATTCATACCTGGCGATCCTGGACTGCACAGTCGGCAATGATCCATTAGTAAGACTGGCGCTAGCTATAGGAAAGCCACCATGGTCGACTAATATGTTTGACCGACCTACGCCCAACTCGCTCATCAAGGTCACTCCGGACGGCCCGATTTCCGCAGATGGCTCTGTTTCCAAGTGTACCGCGGAGCTAATTGAGCCCGAGAGACCACGTAAGTATTCCAACTTTCTCGATGGATGTCTAGGAGCTTATGACTGCTGCTAGCGGATAAAAACCCGCATT